ATTTTCTGAATGTCGATAAAAAAGTATTGCGAAATGACGGCGTTTTCATTAGCCAATGTTATGCGGCTGAAACGTAACCTTTTGCCTCTCGCGATAATTCATGGCAATGGATTTTGGCTATATTTATTCAAAGGAGGCTTATGCGTGTATCTTTACAGAAGCAGCTAAGAGAGCCACTTCAGAAACGTGCGTGGCGCGGCTGGAATAAACCATAGCCTGTATAAAAAAACAAACACAAACATTGAGTGGACATAATCAGCTTCAGTGACCGTATCAGAGCCACACTGCACCGCAGAAGTGTGCAGTGTAAATTGTCTAAGCATTAATAGTAGGGAAAGCCCCTTATACTGGAGCGCGGCCACTTATGAAGTGTTTCTTGGAGGTTATAGTACGTTGAAGAATGATTATATGACTTTTTACATACGCCATTTGACATGTAAATGCGAAAAGGCCGTTTCCATTGCAGTTTTGCGAATTAATCCTTTTTCGCATTGCCTGAAAAACCACCTCATGTGAGCGTAAAAACTTTTTTGCGATATATGGGCGTTTTTGCGAAATTGACTCGTTTCCATTAGACGTATTTTCAATTCGCAATTTCTATTTGCGCAATTTGAAGAGTAATGGAAACGCGCCTAGTGTTAACAAAAACTAAAACCATAAAAAACCTTCGCATTAATTGAAATAAAAGAAACACTAACTGAAAAAAAGTTAAATATACTTTTTTCCCCTCAAAATGTATTAGTTGCCAAAGCAACATTTCTCATTTTAATTGAGTTAAATTTGAAACTAAAATAACAAAAACATAAATAAAAATTAAAACAATATTTTTTTTATAGTTCTGTAGTTTTTATATATAAAAATGACAAAGCACACAACAAAATTACTAAAACTTTAACTAAAATTTAAATAAAAAAATATAAAGCTCCCTGATATTTTTTTTTACTTTTTCAATGCAAGAACCCTGATCATAACTAACTAATTAAATAAATAAATAATTCATAAGTTGCCCAAAGAGAAGTGTGTGAGGTCATACACTAATAGTGGGGGTTAGTGGGGAGCTGGGAGCACTTTAAATGCAAAAGGAAGAGAAATCCCTCCGTGACCTCCAGATAACCCACAGAGGAGCTAATCCTGGCTCCACGGTGCTCTGGTCAGTGGACTCCCTGCCACTTGGCAACTCTGATTCAAAGCAAAGCTCTGGACACATTGAACTTAATTTGCTGGAGAAGGGCCAGATCACTCACCTCTATGTATGCAAATTAATATCAATCAATGGGGGACAATTCCTGGATGGCTCGTTCATTATGGAGAGCCGGGAGAGGAGGGTTCAGGGGGCTAATAGCACTTCACACCTACTATGTGGTCCATATTGAGGAGGTCTGTTTTACGGACCATTATTTAGTGCTGTTTGCTGCTCCTGCTGGGCTGTGACGATATTGCTGCTAAACACAACAAGACCCTGCGGAGCATCATGGGCAACAAGACTGTGCTCGTAAATGTCAATATTTGCAGACCTTGGGCTGGGCGATACAGCCAAATCAATTATCCAAAATAGATTTAACTGTCATCCAAGGTATACATGACATAAGTTCATGCATTTCCTGGATACCCAACTAATGACTAGTTTGGACTGGTATGAATTAGATCTTGATGAATATTCGATAAACGGTGGGATCCAAACGTCCCAGACCACACTGAAAATCTAATTTGAAGATGAAAAAACGTTGTAGAATTTCAAAAATAAATACATAAATATTTAAAAGAATCAAATAATATTACAAAAAAATATTAACGCAATATCTAAGATTCTTATAAATCATGAAAAAGATTTTTAATTCACTAATCAGACATTATAACATTATTTGTGAGCACTTAATTAGGATTATTACAATCCCAGTAAAGTGCATTTCTCTGAGCACCAAATCAGCATATTAGAATGCTTTATGAAAGATTGTGACACAGTAATGGTTGCTGAAAATTCCGCTTTGAAATCAAAGAAATAAATTACATTTTACAGTATGTAAAAATAGAAAACAGTTTTTTAAAACTGTAATATTTCAAAACATTACTGTTTTTACTGTATTTTTGATCAAATAAATGCAACCTTGGTGAGCATAAGAGACTTCTTTCAAAAACATTTTAAAGGGGTCACATGATGTTACTAAAAATTATTTTGTGTATTTGGTGTAATAAAATGTGTTTATGCGGTTTAAGGATAAAAAAACCACATTATTTTCCACATACTGTACATTATTGTTTCTCCTCTATGCCCCGACTTTCTGAAACACGTAGATTTTTACAAAGCTCATCGGTCTGAAAAGCGAGGTGTGCTATGATTGGCCAGCTATCCAGTGCGTTGTGATTGGCCGAATACCTCAAGCGTGAGACGGAAATGTTACGCCCCTTACCATACTGTGATGCTGATTATAAACGAGGCATTTGTTGCATCCAGTGAGGACATAATTACTGATTCTAATGACTTATACTGTCTTGTTAAGCGTTGTGTTGCGCCGCGTA